TCCGGACATTTCGTTTGAGTTTCACATTGATAGAGTCATTCAACCTGGCTCAATCAGTGGTTTTCTACACATCAGCCACCCACACTCATTCCATTCTCCTGCTTGCCTCCCCCCCCCCCACACCCCGCCTTTATTAATAATAATAGTATTACTTGCAGGAGATGTTCCTTGGTTGAGACGAGGTCCCGTCTGCCTGTTCAGGCAGACGTTAAAGATCCCTCGCACTACTCAAAAAGAGAAGGGAGTTTCTCTCTTCCGGTTTCCTGGCCAACAATCCCCCCAAATAAAATGACTCACTTCACGGCTGTTCGGAAATGGACTTTACCAAATGTGTACCAACTGACTACCGCGTTACCCCACACAATACATAGTCACTACACTTCGCAGTCACAGGAGACATCTTCCTGACGTGATAGACGTGATATCAGATGCAATAGTAATAATAATCTTTACGTTCGATATAGCTCCTTATCACATCATTGAGTCGTCTCAAAGCGCTTCACAGGATATATTGTAAAGTGAATTTTGTGTATACTTTGTGAGCGAAATGTGGCCGCATTACTCAATCCACAACCGTTTGTAGGACACTGCTGTGCACAATTGGCTGCTGTGTTTTGCTCATCACATGCAGTCAATCCACTTTATAGTATATTCCTTGAAGCACTTTGAGATGTCTCAACAACGTGATAATGCAAGGATTATTATTATTATATATATTCTCCTGCCTCCCCCATTAATCTCTCTGTGTTTACCTTCAATTTATGCCTCGCTTTGTCACTTAATCGTCAACCAGTGGACATAAATATTGGGAAAAAATAGCTTTTTAATATTCAAGATTCCTGTGCTGCAGATTCCCCTGTGCAAAGAATCTCAACAGCTTACAGCATCTTTCGCCTCAAATAAAACCTCATCGGGGGTTCGCTCCTCACATGAAGTAGGAACCCCGTTGTTAGTCGATTGGCGGATCGCTTTTCCGGGAGTAATAATCCCTTCAAAAAATAAAGCTAATAAATTGGTCACTCAATCCACGACTGTTTGTAGGACGCTGCTGTGCTCAATTGCCTGCCACGTTTCACCCAAAACACAGAGTCGTATAGTTACACTATATTCAGTGAAGCGCTTTGAAACATCTTGAAGATATTTATGTTCTGTGTCTCTGTTCTGTGTCCTTGTCTGTGTCTGTGTCTGTCTTGTTCTGTGTCCGTGGTGTCTGTGTCTCTGTCTGTGTCCATGTCTCTGTCTGTATCACTCTCTGTATCGCTGTCTGTATTGCTGTCTGTCTCCATCTGTGTCTCGGTCTGTGTACCTGTCCTGTGTCTCTGTGATGTTCAGAGTGTCCAGACATCCCTCAGTTTGGAACTGTTTTGACTGTAAGTTTCTCTGAAAGCTGCAGAAAAAAACGGCTTTAAAGTGACAAACATCAGAGTTCATCAAGTTGCACAATTCCGGACTACCGGAAACATTATAGAAAGAGTGGAGTCCTGTAGAGCACTCATCTTGCAAGCGAGAGACCTGGGTTCAATTCCCAGCAGGGTAAAACCTTGGGCAAGTTTCCTTATTCCACACGCCTGATAATAATCCCTGCAAAACAAAGCAATAATAAATTGGTCACTTTAATCCAAAACTGTTTGTGGGACGCTGCTGTGCACAATTGGCTGCCGCATTTCACCCACAAAATATACAGTCAAGTCACTTTACAGCATATTCTGTAAAGTGCTTTGAGACGTCTCGAAGACGTGAGTAGTGCTATATAAATGCAAGGATTATTATTATTAAAGAGGCTGGAAGAGGCTGGACCCCAAGGATGGGGGCAATGGAGAGAAGAGGACCCTAACCCTCTCTCTCTATCTCATATCTTGTCGTGGAGTCCAGTAGCTCAGTGGTTAGAGCACTCGCTTTGCAAGTGAGAGACCTGAGTTCAATTCCAGGCAGAGGGCGAAACCTTGGGCAAGTTTCCTTACTCCACACAGAGCCTAATAATAATCCCTCCAAAACCAAAAACAATAATAAATTGGTCATTTTCAATCTACAACTGTTTGTGGGACATTGCTGTGCGCAATTGGCTGCCGCGTTTGCCCACAAATATACAGTCAATTCACTTTACAGTGTGTTCTGTGAAGCGCTTTGGGACGTCCTCCCGACGTGAAAAGCGCTATATCAAATGCAAGGATTATTATTATTAGTCGATTCGCAGATCACTTTTCTGGGGATAATAATCCTTAAAAAAAAATTTGGTCACTCAATCCACACGTGGAACACTGCTGTGTGCAATTGGTTGCCACGTTTTGCCCACAAAATATACAGTCACTACACTTTACAGTATATTCTGTGAAGTACTTTGAGGAGGCTTGAAGACGTAATATGGCGCTATATCAAATGCAAGGATTATCTGGTTGCCGACAACAGAGAGCAGTGATGTGAAAAAATGGGGTGTTTTATCTCTGAATATTTTCCATGGATATTTGAAATTTTCTGCACGATCATGAGCTCAGGGTCTTAGACCTGTTGTTTGTTTGTTTTTGTGACTGAGGTGAGGGGAAGATGGCTGCTTGTGAAGCCCTTTCTGATCTCCTAACAGTTCATTATTTCGCCTCGTTTGGCAGCAAATCTGAAATGTTTAAATAATAAACCCGACGAACATCCATAAAACTGGGTGAGAACGAGATGATTTTCATAAATATTAAACAGGCCACATCAATTCCAATTACGTTCAAGATCTCGATAATATTTCTAATGTGATTTGCTTTTCAGCCCGGCTCCGTCTCTCATGGTCTGGTCTCTGTGTCAGGCGGTTGTGCATGTGAGATGCTGAGATTGCACAGACCAGGCTGACGCTTCAGTGCAGCACTGGGGGAGAGATAAGGTGCTTTGTCCCGAGTACCGACATAATAATTTGGTCGCTCAATCCACTACCGTATTTGTGGGACGCTGCTGTGCGCAATTGGCTGCCGCATTTCATCCACAAAATATACAGTCAATTCAATTTACAGTGTATCCTGTGAAGTGCTTTGAGACGTCTCGAAGACGTGATAAGGCGCTGTGTCAAATGCAAAGGATTATTATTATATTTTTATTCTGTGCTGTCTGCCCACTCAGGAGCACATTAAAGATCCCACAATCGCTTTGGCAAAAAGATGAAGGAATTTCTCACTTGTGTCCCATCCAGATTCATTTATAATTATAATAATAATAATAATCCTTGAAGTTGATACAGATTCTTTGAGACGTCTCAAAGTGCTCCACAGAATATACTTCAATGTGAATTGACTATATATTTTGTGGCTGAAACGTGGCAGCCAATTGCGCACAGCAGTGTCCCACACTGCTGAGTGATCAAATTATTCTATTTATTTATTTATTTTGAAGGAATTATTATCCCGGAAAAGCAATCTGCCAATCAACTAACAGCCGGGTTCCTACTTACTGCAAGGTTAACAGAGGCGTGTGTGTGGAGTAACAAAACTTGCCTAACGTTTCGCCCTGCCTGGGAATCGAATCCAGGTCCTCTCGTTCTGAAGCGAGTGCTCTAACCAATACACTACAGGACTCCACATTTGCTACGGTTCTCCCCCTCTCTGCTCCGCCCTGTCTTTACCAACTTATTTATGTACATCGATAGGGATTAATAAAGTCCCTTTGCTTTTCCGGTCTTTTTCATATTTTACCATCTAACATATATTTGTTCCTCTTATTCTTCCTTCCAATCAGCTAATTTGTCTTTGTCCCACGAAGGTACTTTACAATCTTCTTCACTGTTTAGTTACACTCCCTATTTTTGTGTTAAACTTAGAAACTGTGCCCCTCCTTGCCTAGCCCAGTCCCTGCCCAGTCTTTTCCCCCAATCCCTTCCCCCCAGTGACCCTCCTTGCTCTGCCTTGCCCCCATTAAAGCCCATTTGCCTTGAAGAGTCCTGCTAACCTCTGGAGTTGTTGGTGAGAGATTAATATGTATAAAATATTCATACGATTCAGACAGAAACTCTCTGCTATCAGCCAACGAGCCAATTAGGCAGTTAGATTTTTTTAGGAAGCTGCTGTAAAAAGAGAGGCGTGCGGTTTTAGGAACCTAATTGTGTTGTATTAAGAGGCTCAGGTATTAAGAGGTACTTGTGTGGAGACAGGGAGAGAGCGTTCACACTGGAGTCGAGATCAGATTACAATCGCTAGAGGCAAGTAGAGTGACCACCAGCCATTAGAGTCCTATAGTTTAGTGATTAGATAAACCAAGAGTCCTGTTGCTCAGTGGTTAGAGCACTCGTCTCGCAAGCGAGAGAACCTGGGTTTGTTTCCCAGGCGGGGTGAAACATTGGACAAGTTTTGCTACTCCACACGCCTCTGTTTATCCAGCAGGAAGTAGGAACCCGGTTGGATCGCTTTTCTGGGGGTAATAATCCCTTCAAGAAAAGATAAAAAGAAAAATAATTTGGTCACTCATTCCACGACTGTTTGTGGGACGCTGCTGTGCGCAATTGGCTGCTGCGTTCCGCCCATAAAATATACAGTCAATTCACTTGACAGTATATTCTGTGAAGCACTTTGTGATGCCTAGAAGACGTGATTAAGGCGCTATTGCCTCTGTTTACTTAGCAGTAAGTAGGAACCCAGTTGTTGGTCGATTGGCGGTTCACTTTTCGGCGGTAATAATCCCTCCCCCTCAAAAAATAATAATTGTTCACTCAATCCACAACTGATGTGGAACACTTCTGTGGGCGTTTCACCCACAAAAAGCACAGTCAATCCATTTTCCAATCTATTTTGTGAAGTGCTTTGAGATGTCTCAATGCTGTGATGAAGCGCTATATCAAACATAAGGATTATTATTATGATTATTATTGTTATTTTGAAAATCCCACATCTCATCTTTACAGAGGACGACTGGTCTCCTCCACAGAGAGGGAATTTCTTTGGAGCTGTGGTTGACACAGCTGCTGGCTGTGCTGTGACTGTTGCTGAGTTAACAAGCCTGTGCTCTCTCTCTCTCTCTCTGTGTTGGTATCGCAGGCTATCTGACTGTCAACATTGAGCCGATCTCCCCTGTGGTGGTGGGTGAGGCTGTGACGTTGAAATGCAACTTCAAAACAGACGGGAGGCTACGGGAGATTGTCTGGTACAAGGTAAGTGGCTCAAACCCCGGGACACTGGGCTGCCAGACTCAGCTGAGTGCCTGAGGACAGACAGTGGTGTGAGGAGATACACCCAACAACAACAGCAAGAAATTACAGGTGTAGAGCGCCTTTGGGACCTCCCAATGTGAAAAGCGCTACACGCGTGTAATTCTCTTGCTGCTGTCATGTCGGGAGGATGTGCCAAGGTGCTGGACAGTCGTGCAGGACATGGTGGGGGGGTTTAATGAGCAGATGCTGTTGATGTGTTGGCATTTCTCCCGACTCTGGCTAATTGTCAAGTCTCCGTCCTTTGGAAAGAGTTTCTGATTGAAAGCACCATGCGGGCGGTGGGGGCGGGGGAGTGGGGGTTGGGTGGGCATGTGGGTGGGCTGGGCATGTGGGTGGGCTGGGGGAAGAAATTGTCGGTAATTTTAATTGAATTACCATGGCTCATCTGCCCTGCTGATCGTGCTGATCACTGGCTGCTCACAGCACTCAGTGGCCTGCCTGCCGTGGGCGCAGGAGCAGAGCTCGGTGTGGCAGTCCCCCAGGATTCCCCCACCACCCCCAGCCCAGCCCAGCTCCCCCCCAACCCTGCCCCCTGCCCTGTGGCCCCTGCTCCCTGTCCCCCCCCCCGGTCCCTTCCCCCTGCCCCCTGGCCCCTGTGACCTGCCCCCTGCCCCATGTGCCCTGCCTATACCAATTTCCTGGTCACTCACTCGACCAGAGTGGGATCCTGAGGAAAACATGTCAATATTACTTGGCACCGAGGGGTCAGTGGGGTGGGTTCTGGTAGCAAAGAGCACTGGTACTGCACGAATGTGTGTGTGTGCGGTGTTTTCTGGGGGTCCAACGGATGCGCACTCTCTCCCTTGGCGGATGCATCTTGCTTACCTAATTCCGGATAGTATTAGGCACAGATTGGCAAAAGCCAAGGCTTGTGGACTCAGAGTGTGCGTTGGGGTAACTGCTAAAACTGGTTGGATTCCAGCATTTGCCATTAAGAGCACTATCTGGCAAGCTTTCCCTCTGCTGTGGTTAATTATAATAGACCACCTCAAACTGTTTCAAAGTATTTACTATAAAGTGTAGTGACTGTGTGTTTTATAAACTGCCCATAAAAAGTCATGAAGTGAGTGATTGATTTTATATGGAGGATTCTTGACCAGGACACCAGGAGAAACTGCTTACACTTTTTGAATGGTGCCACGGGATCTTTAATGTCCAGCTGACCAGGGAGACAAGACCTCGGTTTATCATTGTAATTACATTTGATACAACATCTCTCAAGTCAGGAGGACGTCTCAAAGTGCTTTGCAGGATCCACTGTAAATTGCAACGACTGAGTATTTAGACGGTAAATGGTTTAACATCTCATCTGAAGGATAGCACCTCTGTCAATGCAGCGCTCCCCCAACACTGCACTAGACTGGCCTAGACTGTGAGCCCAAAGTCCCTGACTGTGGGAGCTTGAACCCACAACCTTCTGATCCCTGAGGCGAGGATGTGAGCGGCTGAACCGAGCTGACCCAACAAGCATTAAAGGCCAGTGATAAACGACAGCAACACAAATGTAATTTGAGCCTTGAAGGAAGGAGGGGGTTGGCGAGGTACATTATAGCACAATGATGGACAGTTTGGTCGCTGCGTGTGTGAAAACCCTCTGTAAAGGAGTGCAATAGCCAACAGGCTCCGCTTGTGAGATATTACCTGCAGAATCCGCCACGCTTGTCAAAGGCAAACTCTTTCATTGGACTGATGAGGGAGAATTGAAGTGCTGATCAATGCTTAGACTAACTATATACTGCAGCCAACCACACCAATTATCCTGTGCCCTACAGTCTGTTACAGAGAGCTGGGGAGGAACGGAAGGAAACCGCAACAGGCAAAAAAAGGAAGGAGGAGCATAAGGACCTGGCTTTAAATAAAACTGAGTGGAAGATAAAGATCTGAAGCATTTTCAATATAAACCCCTCAGTGCGGTGAGACCCATGCACAGAGCAGCCCTCATTAGCATCTACATACATGTTTCTAGAAGTTGGCTCGCAATCCGTTTTAAGAATATATGTCAGGCTGTCAGACGTTTGTAGGTTCAAGCCCCAAATCGAGGACTTTGAGCTCTAAGCTGACGCTCTGGTGCAGTGACCTGTGTCCTGCACCCTGCCACTTGCTACATTGTCAGAGGTCCCGTCCTCCAAAAGAGATTAAACTGAGCTCCCATTTGCCTGTTCAGGTGGATGTTGAAGATCCCATGGCACTATTCGATAAGAGAAGAGAGTGTCTCTCTCAGTGTCCTGGCCGACAATCCCCCAATAAAATTGATCACTCACTCCATGGCTGATTGCAGGATATTGTTGTGTGCAAATTGCCTGCCACATTCCGCCACAAAATACACAGTCATTCCACTTTACAGTAAACCCTGTGAACCACTTTGAGATGTCCTCCTGATGTAAATGGCGTTGTATCAAATGCAGGATAACTGTAAGAAGAGAATGGCTGACCAGGTAGCGGGAATAAGTACAGTCCCTTAAAACTATTGAATCGTTTTGTTTCCTTATTCTGGGCATGTTGTATAGAATAAGGAGGGTTCAGGACCTTGTTTTTTCAGTGTCTTGTGCAGAGAATTTTTACAATGCGGAAGGGTGCTATTTGACCCATCGTGTTTGTGCTGGTGCTCGCTTCCCCACTGGAGCTCTCTCCTCTAATCTCATTCCCTGCTCTCTCCCTCTCTATGGTTCTCTGGACACCGGGAGAAACTCCCTTGTTCTTTTCAAACAGCGCCATGGGGTTTATACCATCCACCTGTTCTACCATCCCAACTGCACTGGGCAGCAGCCTAGACCATGAGCTCAGACATGAATCAGAAATACAAAACCATCCCCTTATGTGGAGTCCTGTAGCTCAGTGGTTAGAGCACTCACCTCGCAAGCGAGAGACCTTGGTTTCATTCCCTGCAGGGAGAAATGATGGGCAAGTTTCCTTACTCCACACACCTGTTTACTTAACAGTAAGTAGGAACCCGGTTGTTAGTTGATTGGGAGAATCACTTTTCCAAGGATAATAGATTACAAATAATTATAAGAAATTGTCCACTCAATCCACGACTGTTTGTGGGACACTGCTGTATGCAATTGGCTGCCGCGTTTCGCCCACAAATATACAGTCAACTCACTTTTCCAGTATAGTATGTAAAGCGTTTCGAAATGTCTCGAAGACGTAAGGCGCTATATCAAATACAAGGATTATTATGCCCACTCTTGTCGCCGGCTACTCCCTTTCACCCACAACATTCTCTCTCTCTCTCGCTCTTCCCAATCCAGGCATCTCTGCCACTCAGCCTGTCTATCCCATCCCTGAAATCTCTAACTCTGTTGTGGATGGAAATGAATTGAGGCATTATCCACCCACTGGCCTATTCCACATGGCCTCAGTGTGGGTGGGGAGGAGGAGGAATCCTATCTAATCTCCGGTCTCACTGGCTCGAATGCATTAATCTCTGCTTCAGCTCTGATGGTCCGAGTCGAATATTGACCTCATCCGCCTCTCATCATATTAAAGATTTGGATTATCCCCAGAGAATGGAAATCAGAGGCTGTGGGAGCCACGTGCTTCACAAAACCTTCTCACACTCATCTGCTTAGTGATGTCAGTCTGAGAGGTGGGCAGCAAGGGTCAGTCAGTCATTACCAGCCTGTGCTCACAGTGTAACTCACATTCATACTGTGTAACTCACACTGACTGTTGTGTAATTCACACTAGTGCGTAACAAGTTCGTCCCTTCAACCCATTTGTGATCACATAATGCTAGATCCCCCCTCCTCCCCCACCCCCAACCCCCACCACACCATCCTCCCATTACAGCATCCAGCTGTTTCCTAAATGAGCCTGACCCCCACTCAACAACAACCACAACGAATACTTATACAGCACCCTTCACAAAGGATAACGTTCTGAGTGCTGGAGTTTGGAGTGGGTTTGGGCGCTGAACGAAGGGGGAAGACGGGGGGGGCGAGGTGACCATAGATGCACTCGAAGAGGGAGGTTTTAATAATAATAATAATCATTGCATTTGATATAGTGCCTTATCACGTTGTCGAGACGTCTCAAAGCACTTCACAGAATATACTGTAAAGTGAATTGACTGGATATTTTGTGGGCAAAAAGCAGCAGCCAATTGCGCACAGCAGCGTCCCACAAACAGTCACTGACTGAAGTGACCAATTCATTATTTTTTTTTAAGGAGTTATTATCCCCGGAAAAGCGATCCGCCAATTGACTAACAACCGGGTTCCTACTTACTGCTGAGTAAACAGAGGAGTGTGGAGTAAGCAAACTTGCCCAACCTTTCGCCCTGCCCGGGAATCAAACCCTGTTCTCTCACTTGCGAGGCAAGTGCTGTAACCTTTGAGGTACAGGACCTCACAGGTGGGATTTAATGAGAGATAAAGAGGGGGCGAGGCAGAGTGACTGAGGCAAGGAGTTCCAATTCTCCCATTGAACCCCTCCATTCTCAGGCATTCCTCATGTCCCTCTTTCCCACCATCAATAGCTGAGCTTTCAGCCACTGTGGACGTTATCAAACTGAAAGTGAAAATCGTGTATCTCAGTGATTGGTCCCCAAAGTCTTGGCCTCGGTCACCCTCCCCACTAACCCCAACACAGACCAGGAACTCCTACCTTAGATTCTCAGGCATTCTTGCATTTGATAAAGCTCTTTATCGCATCGTTGAGGTGTCTCAAAGTGCTTCACGGAATATACTGTAAAGTGAATTGAATTGGGAGTGATGGGGTCACGGAGCCTGGTGCGTGAGAGTACATGAGCTGCAGAGTTTTGGATGATCTGCAGGTTGTGAAGGGAAGAGTTGGGAAGGCCGATGAGGAGGAAATTTCCGTAATCGAGTCTTGAGGTGACGAATGTGTGGGAGAGAGTTTGGGCAGCCTGAGGGGTGAGGCAGTGGCGGAGTCTGGCAATGTTGCGGAGGTGGTGGTAGGCAGTGCCGGTCATGGTG